CTCTGACCGTCTCCGTACTCACTGTTCTCGTTCAGGTTTTCCACTAGTTGGTGCTTAATCCACTTCTGTTTAGCTCCTTTCAAAGCTCAGGGCTCCAGGATTATCTTCTGTATCTTTGTCAATTGGTTTCTGTTTTCTTTGTTGAGGAGGGTCTGTGTTGCTTGTCTGCCTACTTACTTACTTACTGGAAGTCTCCCTGAAAAGGAGAGTGAGTTTTGCTAACACTTTACACACACATACACACACATAGGCAACTACAGAATTCCTAAGAGACTTGAAAGCCCAATACCAAATTTGCAAGACCTGTGAACAACCTCAGTGCCAAACAAAGATTGCTTTTATATTGTCTATTGGCCAGATCTCTGATGGGTCTTCTTTTGTTGTATCAACTGTTTCCCTATGTCTCAGTCTTTTAACGTATCTTAACCCTCAAAACCTTTAGCTCCTTGCTTCCACTTGCAGTAGAAAAGTAAAGTAGTCATCTAGAGGGCGTGGTTGGGATGAACACTTTGCATTGATTTTCAGACTTCTCCAAGTTTCTGGTTCATGCTCTAGACAACAACAATAGAAATTGTTCCTCCAGCTCTACCTTGTTCCAATATAAGTCATGATTGTACTTATTATGTCCCCTCCATGGACAAACAAACACATAGCACAAAAATCTGTTATTATACTACACCAAAAACCTATGGCTATGGAGTCAATTCTGACTCCTAATGACCCTATACATAGGGCTTCCAAGGCTGTCATTCTTTATGGAAGCAGATTGCCTCCTTTCTCTCCCACAGAGTGGCTGGTGGGTTTTCACTGCCAACCTTTTGGTTAGCAGCCAGCTCAATGCTTTAACCACAGCACTACCAGAGCTTCTGATATTACACTGTAAGTCTGGGCAAATAGGCATCTAGTCGTTTTTCCCAGTACCAGCATTTAAAGGAACAAACTTATTTATCATAAGTAATAAGACCTAATTCACTTAAACCAAAAACCTACTGCCATTGAGTTGATCATGATGCATAGTGACCACGTTTCTGTATTCAAGGCAGCCCCTTAGCCTCTGAATATACATACTCATAAGGTCTATTATATATACATGTGTGTGATTTACATCTAAATTCCCAACATTTTGAGAGAGAATACAGAGAATAGGACTGTTATCTGTGTTCTTGCTGGAACTTAGAGGCAACATGCCTTTTCTCTAACACATATCTCTTTGTTCTCCCAGCTTCTTGATGTGAGATACTATTTGGCTCCTTCTGCTGACCTGTCCTGCTTTCTCTGCAGCTCTACCGTCTGTGCTGGAGTCTTCGCAACAGCAAAGAGGAGCGAATTGATCTAGATGCAAGAGAGGAAGACATCCCAGAAGCCCCAGAGGAGGCCATTGAAATAGGTGATTTATGACTCATGGGCTATTTCCGGTTCTAAAAAGTTACTCCAATAGTAACAGCAAGACCACTTCATGGAAGGCTTTATCAAATGCCTTCATCAAGGCTCAGCTGTCGCCTCTAGAGGGAAGTGAGGAATGGGATAGGGGTGAGATGGATGAATGGGTTTTGGGAAGTTCACTCTGAGGTCTAGGCAAGTGGTGGGGGAAGATACAGAATCATCCCACCTCCCCCACCCTCACATTTTACAGTGATCAGTGAGTAACTAACTGTACATGAGAAACATGTCACCCTTCCTTGAACTGGGGCATGGCCAGGGATGAGGGAAGAGTCAGAACTCTTCTGACATAGCCTGTGAACTGATAGCAGATGGAACCAAAGCTATGGTCAGCTTTGGGGACATCAGGACAATGGGATATAGGCTCTTGGGATCTTATATCTTCTGACTTGTCATATTAGATTGATAAAATCAAATTTCTCTGGAAGCCTGATTGGATCATTCTTAGTCAGTGCTTAGAGAATTATCCTGATCGTGGAGGTGTACTTTCTTCAATTTTAGTTTTGCAATTTTACCACCCTATGTGGGAGAGGTACATATGGAGGATGGTTGTGTATATATGTGATGTGAAGAGGCATGGGAGCTCAAGGTCATATGTGCTTGACCTGGTGCTGGGTTGGAGGTCTCATCACTCCATCCTTTGGAGGCATACTGCATCAAAACAATTCCTGAATATGGCCATATCAGGCATATCAAAGAATTTTAGTTCTGTGGGAAAAAAAAACCCAAGCTAAACTCATTGGCATCAAGTTAATTCTAGCTCATAGCAACCCCCATTGTGTTTCCGAGGTGATAAATCTTTGTGGAAGTAGATTGCCCCATCTTCTTTCCATGGAGCAGCTGGTGCATTTGAATCACCAACCTTCTGGTTAGCAGTCAAATGCCTTAGGCACTATGCTACCAGAGCTCCTCTGAGCTGCTTTAAAGGACCCTGGAAATAGTTTGATCATGTCATCTAATTTTACATTAATTCTAACCTAATATAAATTGAGGCTCAGGGAAGGAGAGACTTTGCTTATGGTCCTAGGTCTGCTTTTTGATCTCTAAGGACTTCCCAGTCCTAAACTCTGTGACTTTGCAAGTGCCAGGGGGAACCTAAGGCCAGAGTAGCTGACCATGGTGCTGAAAAGGAACCCCCTTCTCGCTTTTCTGGAGTAGGCAGGTGTGAACCCTGTTGTGTGCCATGGAGTCGATTCCGATTCATAGCAACCTTGTAGCACAGAGTAGAGCTGCCCCATAGGGTTTCCTAGTCTGTAATGTGAACCCCACACCTCCCAAAGTGTCTCTATTTTGAGTGATAATAACATAGCTTTGAATGGGGCGTGGATGGGGGTATTTTGAGTGTTGAGAAGTTTTCATTCAGACGAAGAGATTATTTTTGTTTGCACCAGAGGGGAGAATTAAGACTTAGAGGTGAAAAGAACCCATCCAATTTTGACTCAAAGTGAGGAGACAGGGGTCTATAATCAGGCAGAACTGGGACTGAGTCTTGGCTCTTCTGCTTACTACCCTGGGCAAATGATTCTATTTATCTAAGGCTCAGATTCCTCACATAAAATTTTTAAAATAATAGTTCAAACCTCAGAGCACTGTCAATGATAATGTCTGGCTCTGTTATTTGTTGTTATGTGCCGTCGAGTCAAACCCGACTCATAGTGACCCCTCCTTGGGTTTCCAAGGCAGTATCACTACGGAAGTAGGATTGCCCGTGATGATTATTAAGCAAGAGTTTTAGAATTGATTTGGTTTGGAACAGAATGAGTGGGAAGTGTGCTATACAGGGGACTTTCATGCTGGTGGAGAATCAACCTGATGACTTCTGAGATTCACAGCAGCACTAGAATTCTTGAACTCATGGTGGCCTATTAAAGCACATTAAATGAAGCTTTCTTGAGGGCTTTTACAGACCATGGGGTCACCTCACCATATTCTGAAGTGTCGAGAAATATTAGCATGAAGCACACTTGGAGCTGCATCCTTCTGCACCTCTTCATCAAGGATAAGAATATGATCATGATATATTTTAACTATGAATACCTTACCCTAGTCTAATGCTTCATTTTGCTGCTGCTGTTGTTGTTATGTGCCATTGAATCAGCCCCGACTCATAGTGACCTCTCCTTGGGCTTCCAAGGCAGTATCACTATGGAAGTAGATTGCCCAACCTTCCTTCCAAGGAGTGGCTGGTGGGTTTGAATTGCCAGGCTTTGGTTAGCAGTCAAGTGCCTTAGGCACTACACTACCAGAGCGCCTATGCTTCATTTTAGCACCATATTGTTCTTTTAAGGAGACAATGCAAGTATGATTCTCCCAACTGTACAAAGACAATGAGCCATAGAGACTTTCCCAAGGCCACTTTTTTTTTTAAGTGACCCACACCTCCAAAAGTGTCTCTATTTTGAGTGATAATATAGCTTTAATGGGATGTGGATGCGGGTATTTTGAATGTTGAGAAGTTTTTGTTCAGATGAAGAAATTATTTTTGTTTGCACCAGAGGAAGTGGGCTGGTCAGTGAGCCCACTTCCTTGCTACTCCTTCTATTTCTCCTATTTTGGTGCAGTGATCAAAGGGAAGAGGTGTAAGTAAGCTTGTCTCCCTTTCTTACGTGTGTAAGTGGAAAGAGAGAATGGAAGGAGATTAACATTTCTCAACCTACTACGTGTTGGGTGCTCTTTCATTAAATCTTACAACAAAGAAAGTGCTATTTATCCAATTTTACATACACCTGAGGGTAAGAGAGGTGAAGCATCCTGGTCACAAAGTTGGGTTTGAGCCCCAATTCTGACTTATGGATGTGCTTGACTGCTAAAATGCTTCCCAGTTCTAACATTCTGTGACCTGTAAAAACAGGAGACCACAGAGCATTGGATCCCTGGCCATGGTTCTGAAAACAGTGGTCTTGATCTCACAGCCAATGAGCAGCAGAGCTGGGATTCAAACCCAGTGTTCTTGGTGGGCATCCCTTTACAGTGTCAGGGCCAGTTTGATGGTTTGATTCTGTAGTGTCGACACACACCATCAGACGTTTAGGCTTTAAAAAGTGTTGATCAAAAAGTGATATAAAAATGTTGATTTAAAAAGTGTTCTACCCCTGCATCAGAGACCATTAGGACCAATACTTATCCCCTGGCGAGTCTGTCAACCCCAATTCTGAGTCTTAGAATTTCCAGGTGTAGGCAATGCACTCCCAAGTCATCCAGAGATGTAGCAAGCACATAGGATTTGATGTGTTTCTGAGGTGGATTTTTTCTGTAATTCTGTTCTGGTTACCTAGTGCCATTCTGACAAGAATATACCACAAATGGATTGGCCTTAACAAATAGGAGTTTATTCTCTTACAGTTTGGAGGTGTTAAGTCCAAGTTCAAAGGCTCTAGGGGCTGGGTGAAAGCCCCTCAGCCTTAGTCTTCAGCTCTGCCTTCAGCTCCCAGCCCACAGAAGCTAAAGGCTGTTCTTCACTCAGACATCTGCTGGCTGCTGAGGCTGCCAAGCCCAAGGTTGACAAGTAAAAAGGCACAGTCCTGACATTACCAAACCACACAGCAGGTCATTAATTCAAATCCATTGTAAGTCCCAAAGTCAGCACAGCATGACAGGCTGCTGAAGAACAACACGACTACATGCAGGGTCCAAGCGTGCCATAGGCTAGTGACCATTCCCAAAGCTCCTTCTTACATACGGGAAGGAGACCACATACCCAAAGCAACTACTCAGCTGCTTGTGGTAGATCCCACCGTGGAGTTGATTGCCAGCCTCATCATGGGGAATAGCTACCACCAGCTGCCCAGCCACTCAACCAGGCCCAGCCAAGTTGACACAAAAACATAACCACCACACCTTCATATGTCACAGTTCCCTAGCTTGTTAACGTTTCTCTCTCATAAACTATTTTCAGTTTGACTCCTACTGTTTCAATAAAAATACATTTCCATTGGGACTGATAGGCTAGCTTAGGTTAGCTGATCATAAGGATGTGGGATGCATCTATTAACATTTCTTGTGATTAATTGACTTTTTTTGAACATTTTGTGCCATTTTGTACACACAAGAGAACTTGGAAGTTTCTACTGATGCTCAATGGTAATTCTTCTCCTTGGAAACCTTTTCCAGTCACTCATGAGTCTGTATCCAATAATTTTTTCATGCCTTCCCTCTGACACAGAAGTTTCTGAAGAGAAGAAAGGATGCTTCAGGAAGGCTTATGACCTGTTCTGTGGACTGGACCAGCAGAAGGGCCCTAAGATGACCAAGGAAGAGGAGGCAGCGATGAAACAGAAGCTCACTGACACTTCCGAGAAGCCTTTGTGGCGGACCGTAGTGAACATCAACGGCATCATTCTGCTGGCCGTGGCGGTCTTTTGCCACGGGTATTTTGCTTGAGTCCTGCTTCCTGCTGCAGACTGTGCTCATGAAGGCCAGATGCTTTGCTCTGATTCCCTTTTGTATCATTCTGTGGTGTGGAAGGGAAGTCAGCCAGTTGTAAATTTTATTCACATGGAATAAATGTGTACATGTGTAATTACAAGGTAGCCAGATGAAAATCACTAGTTAATTGTAAAATTATGTATTTGAAGTGAATCTGATATAGTCTGGTGTACATACCAGAGTTGCAAGAGGAAAGTCCATTCAATCGTATCTCGAAAAAGGCAATCTAAGAAACAGGCCTTCAGTGTCTGATGCATGCTTATCTCAGGTAGATTCAGTGCATCAACACTGCTTTTATCCCTTGAATATTATTTTAAAAGGTCACCTCCCCTTCATTTTTTTTTTAAAGCAAATCTTTCTTCCCATTATATTTCTGTCAACTTTTTCTTGGCACAAGAAAAATCAGTGTGATAAACTGATGGACACGTTGACACTTGAGATGGAAACTTGATGGGGTTCCTGTGTTTGGTATATGCTCTTTGGAATAGAGGCCTGGGGGTGACAATGTGTCCCCCAAGGGGAGCAACCCAGGCAGCAGCCTCAGACCAATGGGGAAGGGATGATCTTAAACCCAGAGGATTTCTGGTCTTCTTAAAAGTGCCCATTGTGACTTGCCCATGTTTGAAATTTCACTCATATTGGAATTCATTGCCTGCAATGTCTTAGCCACTCAGCAATGTTTGCTGACTGACTGAATGATGTAGATTCAATTTATAAATACATGTTTTATTTTTTTTATATGCCTCTCATTCAGTTAACATTTTCCTGTGGCTACACAAACTTTGTATTCCGGGGACTATAATGAATTGGAATGAACTCACCTAAGACCACTCTTCCTCATAGTGTTGTTCTACTATGGCCCTAAACTGATTCTGGCTCATGTAATAGTAGGAATAAATGTGTCTCCCAAGGGCATCTTTCACGTCAAAGCAGCCACACTCTATCGAAACACTGAAATCACTTGCCTTTCTGTGAGTTTATTTGACCACAATCCTTCCTTTTTTAGGTGTCTTGATTGATGATCATCAGTTGATCGAGGTTAGGGGAGGTGATATCTGTTTCAAGCAGTAGTGCCCAACATTCTGATCTGAGAGGAGTGTATTTCTTGTTGAATCTGTTTCCCAGGAGGAAAGTCTTTTAATCCACTGCAGAATCTCAATTATTGTAATATTATCCCACAGAAGTTCAGAAGAAGTCACTGACTGATTTCAGGCTAACTTTGAGAAGAGTTGGGATCTGAAATTCTGCAGAGCTGAGGTTAGTTCCTGAGTGTAAAAGTGGTTCAACATGTAAAACGATGGCTTGTTTTTGTGGAAGGAAGACTACCCAGAGAGCACCATGTGATGTATCTTTTCATTCGCCTATAGATAGTCCCTTAAGTTAGTCAGAATACAGGGAAAAGTGGAGAATATCACTTGGCTAGCATTACCCACTTGCCTGCTAACCAGACGGCTGGCGGTTCAAACCCACCAGCCACTCCTCGGAAGGAAGGTTGGGCAATCCTACTTCCGTAGTGATACTGCCTCGGAAACCCAAGGAGGGGTCGCTATGAGTCGGGTTTGACTCGACGGCACATAACAACAAACAACAACAACAACAAGCATTACCCAGGGGAGTTCTGGTGGCATAGTGCCTAAGGCATTTGACTGCTAACGGGAAGGCTGGTGATTCAAACTCACCAGCCACTCCTCGGAAGAAAGACTGGGCAATCTACTTCCGTAGAGATACCACCTTGGAAAGCCAAGGAGGGGTCACTATGAGTCGCAATTGACTTGATGGCAGTGAGTTTGGTTTGGTTTGGCATTACCCAGTGTACTCAGTCTTGTGTGGAGTTCATGGCATGTTTTGTGCTTTTAGAGGATAAAGGGAAAGGTTAGAAAGCTGATGGATGGAGTGAGTAGCATAAAATATCTCGATTGTCTTGTTCTGTTTCTGGTTTTGCCTGTATATATTGTGGTAAATTATTTTATCTCAACCATGTATATTTCCCTTTGAAAAATGGGGACCTGAATGCTTATAGCATCTATCTACGTCCTGTGGGTGTGACGAGGTCACTTTGAAAAGGGATTGGGAGATTCATGCATGAAAGACGTCATTCAGATGTTATATTAAGCTGCATAAATTGAAATGTAATATTTTGATAAAAATAAAAACATTGAAAATCCTAACACCCTGCTTTTCTGTTCTTCAAATGTAGACACATACTGACCATCTCTGTGGGGAGCTTTCTGGTGGCACAAGATAATGGATTAAAAAGCAGAAAGATAGGAGAGTTGAGAAGAGAATCTCATGACTTGAATATTGTTTTAAAATGTAGCAAAGTTTGGAGATTTTTTTTGTTACAAAAACTCTAGAAAATATGAAGCAAGTAACTACCTGCACTTGACTATTAGTCAAAAGGTTTATGCCTGGAACCCACCCAGAGGCTCCTTGGAAGACAGTCCTGCTTATCTGCTTTGGAAAGGTCACAACTTTGCAAACTCTTTGGGGCAGTTCTATTCTGCACGTGTGAGGCTGTCATGAGTTGGAATCAACTTGACGACAACTACCACCAACCCTATCTGCAATGGAATAATGTTCCATTAGAACATACTGACACCTTGGTAACCATGGATGAGTAAAAGATAAATTGTACAACTTCAGGGGTGAACAGAAGAGCTATTTTTTTTTCCCTCAGATTGAAATACATTTTGTACATGGGGCAACCACCAGTTGCCATTGATTTGATTGGTACTCACGGCAATGGATGGACAGACGATTTTTCTGAAGTAGATTGTCAGGCCTTTCTTTCCAGGGGCCTCTGGGTAGACCATCAGCCAATCAGATGGCAGCCTCATGCAAAAACTTTACTTGCATGTGATATTAATAATATTGTTCGATAATTTCCACATTCGGTTGGATCACCTTTCTTTGGAACGGGTACAAAAATCGATCTCTTCCAGTCAGTTGGCCAGAGAGCTGTCTTCCAACTTTCTTGGCATAACCGAGTGAGTGCCTCCAGAGCAGCATCCATTTGTGAAACATCTCAATGGGTATTCCGTCAATTCCCGGAACCTTGTTTTTTGCCAATTCCTTCGGTGCAGGTTTGATTTCCTCCTTCAGTACCATTGGTTCTTGATCATATGTCACCTCTTGAAATAGAAAAACATCGACCAATTCTTTTTGGTGCAATGACTCTGTATTCCTTCCATTCTTCTTTTGATGTTTCCTGTATCGTTCAGTATTTTGCCATTTCCCGTATCACTCAATATTTTGTCCATAGAATCTTTCAATATTACAACTTGAGGCTTGAATTTGTCTTCAGTTCTTTCAGCTTGAGAAATACTGAGCGTATTCTTCTCTTTTGATTTTCTAATTCCAGGCACTTTGCACATTTCATTATAATAATTGACTTTGTCTTCTTGAGATGCGCTTTGAAATCTTCTGTTCAGCTCTTTTATCTTATCATTTCTTCCATTTGCTTTAGCTGCTGTCCATTCAAGAGCAAGTTTCAGACTTAACTCTAACCCAGTCTAGGGTGTTAAATTTTGGAGTAAGAAATTTGCATTTGAAAAACCTGAAACGTGCTGGGAGACCAGAAGATTTGTGTTGGAAAGACAATTACCTACAAGGAAGAAAAAAACAACAACTTTGTTTTGCTTTGTGAACCGAGGGCAAATGATTCTGCTGTTTTAAAGTTTTTGTTTTTTCTCTGGTGTAGTGCCTAAGGTAGCAAAGTGCCTAAGGCACTTGACTGCTAACCAGAAGGCTGTAGTTCAAACCCACCAGCCACTCCACGGAAGGAAGGTTGGGCAATCTACTTCCGTAGTGATACTGCCTCGGAAATCCAAGGAGGGGTTGTTATGAATCAGATCCAACTTGACAGCACATAACAACAACCAACAGTGTGAGTCGGATCTGACTTGACGGCAGTGAGTTTTTTATTTTATTTTATTTTATTTTTTGGTATTAGCAATGATGGAGGCCTGATTGTGGAGCTGGGGAAAAAAAAAACACACAGTGAAGTCTTGCCTATTTGTGAGGTGTACATTTGGAGCACAGCCCTGTGGAAATTGGAAGCATGCATTGAGGCAGAAATATCAGTGCCCATGAGGAGAGAATCTGTTCCAGGACCAAATCTGGTTGCAACTCATGAGCAGATGAATACTTGCTGGGGTGACTAGACATGTCCATGAGAGGAGCAAGAAGCAAAGAGAAGCAGCAATATACAAATGGGCGTAGTTTAACACATGGGGTCCGTTGTCTGGGAATTGAACCTGGGTCTTCCACATGGAAGGAGAGAATTCTAGCACTGATCCAGCAAGCACCCTACTTATTGGTGCCAAAAAGGGGTAAAATTTTGATACATTATTTACCACGCTGTGTACTGCTTCCTGGTCAGGGGTGTGCGCACACAGCCTCATGGAGAGTAGGGGCTCTTCTGGCTGCTAGAGGCATCCAGTTTATGTTCAAGTTTTTGGGACCCCAAATGAAAGGAGGCCCCAGGGTTGCAGAACAATGAGTTTATGTACCCAAAGACTGGGACCCTACTCCTTCCTCACACTAAATGGGGATGAAGCCTGGGGAGGAGAAGTGAGACGCAATCTTGAGAAGGTTTGCAGTTGGGCTGGGGATAGAGGGTGTCACCCAGAAGAGTCTGCACACCAAGGGGCAGCTGGCCAGCTCACTATTGCCCCAAGCCATGCCAGCTGATGCCAGTGCAGAGAAGTGGCTGGTCCTGGCCTCAAGACCACCCCTCTGAGAGGTGCCACCACTTGACAAGCTCTCTTAGAAACAGAGAGGGAGGTGACAGTGTGAGAAGTCCAGCACCTGGGTGGGGCTGGACAGAAGAGGAGGCTGCTCTTGTTACGTTGACATGGAAAGATGTTTGTAATGCATTGTAAAGGGGTTGGAAGCAAATTGCAGTTTTTCTAATAGTATGATTTCATTTAATAATAAACAAATGTGTGTGTGTG